ATCACCACTCCCCCGCCCAACTTCCCCCTCCACCACCTCCGCCACCTCCATACCCGCCACAGCTCCCCCTTCCACCGCCTCCACCACCGCCACCCCCCCCTACGCCACCCCTGCCACTCCCATACCCGCCACAACTCCCCCTTTCACCACCTCCGCCACCTCCATACCCGCCACACCTCCGCCCTCCACCTCCCCCGCCACCACTCCCCCCTCCACCACCTCCAACCCTGCTAGCGCCCATGCCACCGTACGTCCCGCCACCTCCATACCCGCCACCATTCCCACCTCAGCCACCTCCGCAATCTCCGACCCCTCTACCACCTCCGCCACCTCTAACCCCCCCAGCGCCCATGCCGCCTCTGGCCGCCAATGCCAGTACTACCACGCCACCACCTCTTCCACCAGGCGCACCAAACAGCCAGTTGCAAGGTGCGCTCGCTGGAGGGCTTCAGAGGAGGATGCAACGGGGACCAATCGAGCTGCCGGAATGCACTGCTACTGCTTGCCTTATGTGCGATCAGCAACGTGTTTCATTCTGTCTGCGGCTTTAAAGAGACCCCAATCTGTGCCAGCGAACGAGCCCTGTGCAGCGGCAGGCATCGGAGCAGGGGGGCTCAAGCCAGAGCAAAGCTAGGGCGCGTTAGACTCCTGCTTCTGCAACCTAGCGCTACCCGCCTGGCACCTTCAACCGGCAGTGCCTCACAACCTCATGTGCCCTCTTGTGCCCGGGCCCCTCTCCACACTCCCCATCGCAGGCGGGTCGAGTGGCACCTCCCACGGCCCCATTGTGGCGGCTGCCGTGGTGCCGACCTTGGCGCTCGTGGCGGTGGCCGTGGGTTTGTACTACTACAACAAGAGGTGAGGGCCACATAGCGGGACGCGGCTGCGGGTAACCTTCCGTCTGTCGGGGCCTGGGCCTCAGTCGGACGCCCTCTGATAAACCCACCGACCCACCTACGGCGGCATGTGTATGTATGTTTGTGTGTCTCTCACAGGCGCCATGTGAACCACGCGCTGGACAACCTCATGGGTGGCGAGGAGGCCTAGTGGCCATGCATGGCGGGTCACTGGAGACGTGTGTCCAGCAGCGGGCTCCTAACGCACGAACACTAGGAGGTGCAAGCCATGCAGGTGGAGACACCCAGAGATAAGGTGACCGCGGCGGGGGACCAAAGGGAAGGAACAGCGGCCTGAGCTCAACCGGCTGTAAACCCGCGGTTTGCAGTTTGCGCAGCTTACCTACCTGAATCCCGTTTGCATGGCAGTGTCGTGCTCAGGCTGTTCCTGGGGTTGTTGGCCCCATGAAATGGCTATGGGGACCCCCAATGGGCAATGGGGACTATACCAATTTAGCTGGATTACCAGGACTTGCCGGGATATCTGGGAGACTGACGCTTCATAAACAGTCACTGCCGCTGAATCCCTCTAATAGGCGCTTGTGAGTCCTTCCTGATTCCCTCTGGGCGGCTCCATGCCGGGTGGTTGGGGAGGAGGGGGGGAAAGAGTGGGTAGAAGGGATGAGAGATGGAGGAGAATGTGTGCAGGGCACGGTGGCTGGGGTGGGGAAGCAGGCGGCACAGGAAGTGAAGCAGTCATTTTCAGAAGTACTGGGTACGGTGAAGGTGGTTGCTAAGGTTGTACGGGTCCAAAGTGAGACGAAGTTTGTTTTTGGTGAGAGGGGAAGTGCGATAGGTGTTGCTTTATTACAGAGATTTAGGGTGCTCGATGGAGATTTGGGGCGTTTATTTTGGACAAGGTCAGGCCCAACCTTGCCATCCTTTTGAGACAGTCGGCATGTAGGTGCATCGCTTCTCTCCTCACCATCGCTACCGGATGGCACCCTTTCATCCACCTGCTGGATGTGACCGGTAGGATGGAGGTACCACCGTAAGGTGCACAGGGACTTCATCTGCGCCTTCTCTAGCAGCTGGCTGAGGGCACACCCTGCTAAAAGGCATGTTGTGAAGAGCCACGACGAAAACTGTGAATGGTCTCTCCACCATCCTGACCGGAAGCGCTTAGATGACGCTTGAGACGAGACTCCAAAGCCTCGGTTGTGAGGGGGGCCTCCTTAAAACGGTGTCCGTCGGTGTCCAAGGGCCGGAAGAGGTAGTGGGTCACGGGGATATTGTAGGTCAAACAGGCGGAAAGATACAGAGAGAGGGGGCTGATGGGGCAGGCTGCAATGTCAGTAGACCTCTCCACTAGTTGACCAGGCGCATGGACTCCCCGGTAGGTTTTCGTGCCTAGCTTCGCAATCTGCAGCCGGCAGGTTGCAGGAACTCGGCCATCAGCTCCTGGCAGAGGAAGTAAAAAGCCTGTGTTTGGATTTGAAGGGAATCCTGAAGATCATCCACTCAAAGTTCTCCAAAGTCGTGGCCACTCATGCAGGTGCTGTACAGCAGGCAGAATATATACTGAAGTCACGCCGCAGAGCCATGCGGGGAATAGGAGTCGGGGTGTTGGCGGCAGTCCGCCGCAGATAGCCACACAGAGCCAGGAGTTTGTTGTACGTAACAGGCACAGCACCCCGCTCAGCATGGCCCTGCCGGGCAAGGATCTGGCGATAACCTTAGCCTTAAGCATGGACTGGTAAACCCTCACAAGGATTGCCACTGCCAGATGCGACCGCATTGTAAGGACCCCGTCGATTCAGCAGGTTGAAGGCGGAGGAGAGGTTCGAGATGGCCCCCTGCAGGGTCGTGGGGCATGGCTGGTGATCCGCACGAACTCTTCCTGGGTGAGCTGCTTTTCAGTGCTCCTCGAAGAAAGTTAGGAGAGACTCCGGGTCGCAGTTGGGCAGGTTCATCGAAGGGTGGTGCTGCACCAGCCAGGTATGCAACTCGCAGGATTGGCTCCGAATCTTATGCCAGCTGTCAGAAGCCCATTTCTGGCATATGGTGTGATAGACTGATGAAAGTGCGGGGCTGGGCATTGGGGGGAACTCCAGGCCGACCTTCCAGTGAATGAATGAAGGCAGCTACTATTGGTTCGGGTGCTGTGGGTTGCATTGGTGCAGATGGGGAAGAGGATGACCATCCGGACACCCTGACAGAGAGACACACCATGCCGGCAACCTGTAGAGACACCCTAAGTATTATTGGCTGGAGGGAACCATCCATCACATCCAGCAACAATGCCCACGCACCTCGGAAACGACAGCGGGACCTGGCCTAGCTGGAGAGGACCAGACAAGACGCACTAGAGGTCCTATCACCGGGACCCGCAAATGACTAGGAATTACACTACGCAACATGCTGGGCAAATCGATTGAATTCCTTGTTTTCGATTAGGACCTGAACCGCATAGCTGGAGTACCAGGACTTACATAGGGTTTGGCACTACTGGTAAGGCGCGACCATTGCCCCCGGGAGATCCCGGGATCGATATACATTAGGGTCTAAAGTTCTTCCGATGGTGGAAGGCATTGAGCCCCTAGTTGATGGACGGTGGTGACCTGGGATAAAGTTAACCTGCGAGCCGACCAGGAATGGAGTTGGGCCGCTGTCGACCCGGCAGATTCCGTTGGATGCTGATGGTGGGTGCGGAACCTGAGCGATCCCCACTCAGAAGTTGACTAGGGTGACTGGATGAGGGTGCCCCAAAATACCGGGGAAGGCAGGGTTTCGCCGGGTAGCTGCCACGGGCGAAGATACACCCCCCTGTTTCACGCATGAGAAAGGATGTGCAGGGATTGCGCTCCAGGAGGGCTGTTCACTTGGTGGATGATGAAAGGGAGGGCGGTATGCAAGCAGGGGGCTGGATGGACACTGGGGGGAGAGAGAGAGGGAGAGAGGGAGAGGGAGAAGGGGAGAGAGAGGGAGAGAGGGAGAGGGGGAGAGGGAGAGAGGCACTGTTTCAGACAACATTTGGTCTACAATTCTTTATGGTCGGAGTGGTTTGG